TCTGTCTGTCTGTCTGTCTGTCTGTCTGTCTGTCTGTCTGTCTGTCTGTCTGTCTATCTATCTATCTATCTATCTATCTATCTACTGTTACAACTTTACTCACCGTACAACGTTTCGTACTGCTGTGTCTCGTTGTCACCAGTCAGTCGGGGAAGTTTCTCGTACCGACACATATCGGTGTTCCAGGCCTGGTCACATTTCTTCCACGGCAGTTCCTCATCCAGACTCACAAAGGATACCAGCATGTAGTAGATGGCGTAGGCGATGATCATGTTGTAGTAGATACTGACCACGGCGCTGACGATGACCATGGCGTAACCGATACCTGGAGACAGACAAAAAAAAGGCGTTTTGTTTTTGGTCTGCAAAATCTGCCCCTCGACCGACACGGTTCGGTCATTTTGTTTTAGTTTTAGTCGTAATGAGACAGACCAAAAAAGGATGTTTTGTTTTTGGATTGTTTTGTTTTGGTCTGCAGAATCAGCTGCTCGACCGACACGGTTCGGTCATTTCGTTTAAGTTTTAGTCGTAATAAGAGTATTACAGCATTTGCTTCACAATTAAATTAAGTTATAATTATGTAAGTGCCGAAGATTATAGGTAAAATATAAAGGAAAGTAGGAGGGGCGATAAGGATGATAGATGAGCAAACATTAAGATGTCAATAACTCCAAAAGCCCAAAAATTGGCGTGCACCTGATTCTATCGCGTTGAGACACACTTTACTCATTCATTCATTTATTCATTCATTCATTCATTCTTTCATTCATTCATTCAGTCAGTCAGTCAGTCAGTGATTATTTATGTATTTATTTCTTCAGTTATTTTTTATTTATTTATTTATTCATATTTTATTTATTTATTTATTTATTTATTTATTTATTTATTTATTCATGTGTCGCATCCACAAAAGCGGTGACTTACCCATGAACGCTGGTGCCATCCTCCAGCATGTGATTGGTCCCTCCGAGGTGAACTGGCCAATCGCGAGCTCGATGAAGAAGAGTGGAAGTCCCGCAATGATCAACATAATGATGTAGGGGAACAGGAAGGAGGCTGGGGAGAGAGTAGTTCGTAGTTGTACATGCTTGATTAATGCAGGTGTTTTTATGCCCGCATCGACAAAATTTAGATCATTTAGGAGATGGACTTTCGACCCTGCCTGTCAAGGTCAACCCGGGCTGAGTGAGATAAAAAAAAAACCTCAGCAGACAGACCGATGTACTCGATAAAAATACTCCCCACTCGGGAATTGAACTCGGATCCCCTACCTGCTATAGAAAAACGCCTAATCGCTACACCACTGACGCCGGTGTACATTGTCTAAGAAAAACACATTGTGGGGCTCTGTGCAAAAAGGGACCAGATGTCGCACTGATTCAAACTGAGATATAGGCTAAAATTGACCAAACGTCGATATTTTGTGTTATTTTTTTTTTTCATCTCAGAAGCTACATTGTATAAAACTAGATCAGCTCCCTTCAGATCTGAATGTCCTTTTATGGAATGCATCAAAAATTGTCTTCTAATTTCATTTAGGGTAAGTGAAATAGAAACATGTTAAAACTTTAAATGTTTTTCTCAAAACTTCGATTTCACCAAAGGAGTAAGAAATGACATCAAAAAGTGCGATATCTTGAAAACTGATAGAGCTTTTTTGATAATTTAAAAACTAAAATGATCTGTAGACATTCCAGAATAAGAAAACTAAATAAAATGAACCTTTCCTCCCCCTCCCCCCCCCCCGAAAATGCAATCAGGTCCCTTTTTGCAGAGAGCTTCACACTTTGCCGCGGAAAAAATTGGTTGTCTTAGACTCGTGGTCGTCTCACATAGTGTTATTATAATGTAACAAAAAACAACACAATTAGCTAAATTCAAAGCTGATACGCATGAATTCCTAGCCAGGATCAAAAGACTAAGAGGAAATTATGATTTTCTAAGAAGGAAGAAAGCATCTTTGTAATTTCCTTCTGTGCATTTGCGTTTTGGTGGGGGGAGGGGGGTAGAGCACTAAGTTGTGACACCAACCCCCCCCCCTTCCCCCTACCCCCGACCCCGCCAAATATAATAAGCTTTGTTGATGTCATGCTGGACTACGTCGCAAAAGAATCAAGTTCAAATTCTAAAAATATCTCAACGTTCTGTTCATCGAGTTCATCGAGTTAGCATGACTCTCCACCCACGTCGCTCGCTCCTATTGGCAAAGGAGCTATTTATTTTAATGTAGGCGTTTTGACGGCTCAGCAACCCAATTCGGAAAATTTAGGAGGACGGCTTTTGATCTTGCCTGTCGGGACCAACCAGGGCTGAGAGAGGAAACAACTTCATAGCAGGAAGTCCGAGATAGTCGATAAAATTGTTTCCTTACTCGGGAATCGAACTCGGGTCTCCTGCATGCGACAGCGAATCGCCTAACCGTTACACTACAGACGCCAGTGGGGTAAAATCGGAAGTCTCGCAGCTTAACAACTGAACAGTGTTGAAAGGGGAAACGAAGATTTTGTAGACATAATAATACCGTTATACAATACAGTTACACAACACAAAAAACTCGAACTTTCTAAATGGCCTTTCAAGTTTGTAACTCGGTATTGTACACTTCTGATGATGTTGTGTAACTGGCAGGACAAGCAATTAGCATCCATACTCCTTTGACGCTATTACATTTTGGGAGACGGTCTGTTTGAAATTTGCCTGTCATATCTAACCCCGGCTCATAGCGATACATTATCCTGGCCGAATAACTGAGCAACCGTAAGGTCGTGGGTTCGAATCCTGTCAGGGACCCGACGTTGTGTCCTTGGAAAAGGCACTTTGCACAAATTTTCCTCACTTCACCCAGGTGGAAATGGGTACCCAGCTATAGACAGTAAAAGATCTTGTCAGTTTAGTGTTTGAGCGCGTGAAATCCGCAGCTTGCACTGTATGCTTCCGCGGAAGCTGAGAAAGTTTCTGAGTGTTCTCAGAGGGTCTGCTGGGGTAATGATAGTTGTAAAGCGCATAGAGCAAACTCTTGAGCATGGATATGCGCTATATAAAAGCAATTATTATTATTATACTCTGTGAAAAACGCTTCCCCATCAGGGAATCAAACTTACGTCATCTTCTGTCCGACTAAAGATGTGCACATTAACACAATAACAGTAATTTACCGCAGGGAACGATTTTAACGTGTCAGAAAGAAGTAGGAATAACTAGTCGCGTCTTTTAATCACACGAAGGTTTTGACAAGGCACCCCTTGTTTGAATTTAGGTTTCATTTAGAGCTAAAGAAGGATATCAACACGATAACAGTGTGTAAATGAACAGGAAAAGAAAGGCAGAAAGGAAAAAAAACAGAGGGAAAGAAAAGGAGTAGAATCTACTAGAGGCGCCCTCCAACCACCCGAGTACCAATCGTGAGGGCACAAGTAAACAAACGTGAGGCATCGTCAAAATAATGAAATCCAAGAAAATGGCATTTTTCCCTCAGTTTGACAATTTTTATCGAAATTTCGTTTTGTGGCTGAACACCATTTATGCTCATATGAAAACACATTTCCATGTGAATTTTACAGAAAAACCTTGTTTTATGTAATGTTCAATTTTCAAGGACTCTTAAGCTATTGAAGTTACCACACTTAGCGACCAATTTCTCTTTAATCTAACCACTGAAACCAGGCTACCCCCACCTTCTTCAATCGCAAATATCTCGACTTCTATTCAAGCTAGATGGATTTTTTTCCATTGAAAACAAGGCTAATTAATAAGCTTTCAGATGATACTAATAACTCCACATGCCCAAAACTTGACGAGTGCCTGATTCCACCACGTCGTGACGCATAAACGAGCAAGTGACCAAAGAAAACAAGGAAGCGGTCAGTCACCCCCTAGTGGCGTGGGTAGCCTCGTGGTTAGGCTATTAGACTCGTAATCGTGAGGTTGTGGGTTCTTGGGTTCGAGCCTCAGCTCGATCCGACGTTGTGTCTTTGGGAAAGGCACTTTTACACGATTATCCCCACTAGGTTCGATCATTTCGGAGATAGCCGTTTTAAACTTGGAGGTCCCGCCTCCTCGGATAGCCTAACAGTGTTGATATGGAAGTAAAGGTATACCATTTCCCCATGTTTCACTCACCTCCTCCGTTCTTGTAGGCCAGGTATGGGAATCGCCAGACATTGCCCAGCCCGACAGCGTACCCCACAGCAGACAGGAAAAAGTCCAGCTTCCCGGACCAGTTTCCTCTCTCTGCCTCACCATTCTGCTTCTCCTGCAACCAAGAAAACAAAGAAAATTTAGTTATCAGAAGTACATTGATACAATAAGCGTCATTTAATGCTGGATTAAAGCAAGACAGCGAAATTAGAAAAAAGAGAGAGACTGAGAGAGAGGGAGAGAGATTGAAAGAGAGGGAGAGAGATTGAGAGAGAGAGACAGACAGACAGACAGACAGACAGACAGACAGACAGACAAACAGACAAACAGACAGACAGACAGACAGACAGACTGACTGACAGACAGACAGAGACAGAGAGAGAGAAACAGGGGCAGAGATAGAAACAGACAGAGTCAAAGACAGAGACAGAACGAGAGAGAGTGAGAGGAAAGAATGAGACTGATTGGAGAGGGGGTGGAAGAGAGAGAGAGAGAGA